ACTGGTCAGAGTCACTTAGATCTGCTAAAGCCTTTCTCATTTTACAAAGCTCCTGTCCTATTAAAGGGCTTAGCAAAACCATTAAAGCTCTATACCATTCTCAAGGTCCCAGTTGACTTAAGCTTTCCTTTATATCTTTGGTGAACACAGTCTTATCTGGCCCAGTGAACTGGACATCATATATTGCTTTTCTCATACCTAGTTCTCTCAGTAATGCCTGCCCCTCCTTTATAGTCCTCCAGCCCCTGCTAATCATGTTAGTCTCCCTTAGTGACAACCATGTATCTTTAATGCCTTCAACTAGCCATCCCATTAGGTACTGCTCCCCTTGCATTGGCCTAGATTGAACAGCCTATATCGCAAGGATGGTTGGGTGGTTACATAAGTCAGCTGTGAAGCTTCTGAAGGACTTACACTGATGTTATTTGTTCCCATGTCCCATACCATCATGAGCCACATGGCAAAGGACTCTTTGATTGCTTGCTTGTAAGATTTCCCTAGCTTTAACAGAGCCAGTGTGCAGTATTTCCTATCTACAGTACTGGTAGCTTTTTTTTCCTTTCTGTATCAAAGGTTGAATCTGAGGGGCAGTCTTAGCCACTTTCATTTTTAGGTCATTTCCATTTTCATTATTATCTGTCTTGTTTCCTGAGTCCTTGGACCTTACACAAGTTAAAATGTCCTGCTTTTTTTCTCTCTCAAGTTCTGCAACTGAATCTGCTAGCACCTCCCTGGCCTTTTCAGCTTTCCCTGCTTTGGGCAAATCTTTTATTATGCCAAGAGGCCACACGCCCTCTCTGGGTTCTCAGCTTGTGTCCTAGGCCTGTAAAAGTTTTTCTACCCTTTCTATAACCTTTAGCAAATCTTCATATACCCTCAATTAGGCTGTTTCCCCACATTTACAACACAGCTGTGGCCCATACTTCTGTGTGGCTGGCCCCTTTTTAATTACATATTTTATAATCCATTGTCAGATCTACATCAGCACTGCCATCAGCTCCCTTGCTTTTCCCAAACTCTTGCGGTTTGTCTTTTCCAGCGCCATTATCCTGCCAACTACACCAATTTGTCGCCTGAGTTCTCTTAGGGTCCCTTGCTCTTGGCACTGTTAGACAAACCGTATAACACACCTTTATCAGACTTTTTCATAGTTTATATTTAAGGTAGGGGAAATAGAGTAACTTACAAAGGCAAATACCCAGTGCCCAGTTCCACTCTGTGGCTCAGTGGCCCTCTGTTCCGATCACTTCTGCTCCCCACCCACGGTCTCCGTTAGCTTTCACCCATGCCTGTGGGCCCATAGTCTCGCCCCAGGTCAGTAAATGCCCCCTCTCGTGTCCACGGGGGCGAGACACCTGGGCCATTTTTTCTGCACTGCTTGCTTCCAAAATGGCACCAAAGTTCCTCCCTCCATGGCTAACCCTCCACAGCTCCCTCTTTGTAGCTCACTCTCCACAGCCAATTCTCCACAGCAGGCCCTGCCCCTCGGAGGAATAAGTGCCCCTTGGGACACACATGCCCAGCCTGGACAAAATGGGTGTACTACACTCCTCAGAGACAGAATTTACAAGAAGCCAGAAAATCTGGTCCAAAGCTTTGAATGGTAGTAACAAATCAGTTCTCCTGGTTCAAATCAGGGTCTCATTTAAGTTTCCTATACATTTATTTTAAGTCTCATAGATTGAAAAATACAAAAATGTACTATCTGTAATGAGTTAAACAATAGATCTAGAAAGAAGAATGACTACTCTTCCATGCCCAGTGACATCCTTGCTAGGCAACCAATGCTAAAAACTTGGTATGTGTCTTTCCACTTCATTCTCTGCACCTGCACAAACATATAAGACATTTACATCACCCATCATGGTGATGTACACCTATAATTCCAGCACTCAGAAGGCTGTGGCTGGAGGATTTTGAATTTGAGGCCAGTCTGAGTTATATAGTGAGATCCTGTTTCAAAAACAAATACAAGGAGCTGGAGAGATGGCTAAGCAGTTAAGAGCACTGACTGCTCTTGCAGAGGACCCAGGTTCGATTCCCAGCACCCACATGGTGGCTACAAACTGTCCTTAACTCCAGTTCCAGGGGAATCTGAAGCCCTCTTCTGACCTCTGTGGCACTGCACGACACAGGTGCACTCACATACATGCAGGCAATACACTCAAACATATAAAAAAAATAAAAATAGGGGCTGGAGAGATGGCTCAGCGGTTAAGAACACTGGTTGTTCTTGCAGAAGACCCGGGTTCGAATCCCAGCACCCACATGGCAGCTAACAAGTGTCTGTAACTCCAGTCCCAGGGGATCCTACGGCCTCTTCTGACCTCTGCAGGCATTGCACAACACGGGTGCACTTGCCTACATGCAGGCATAATACTCATACACATAAAATAAAAATAATAATTCAAAAAATTAACATTAAGGGTAGAGAGATAGCTCAGCATATTCATACTGTGCAATTTGTTTTGCTTAACATGTTACATATATTTCTGTAAGTTCTTACATATATCTTATTTTAATAATAGCATAATGACCTGAATTATCTTTTCGATATGAATGGACATCCAGGTTGTTATCCTCACCCCCTGCTGCACACACACACACACACACACACACACACACTCCCTGTGGAACTCTGTAGCCCAGAGAGCCTTTGAATTTTTGGTCCACCTGCATCAGTTTCTCATGTAGCTAGGACTGCAGGCCTGAACCAGCAGGCCCAGTCTTTTTTACTTTTTCAATTTACTACACGTCCTATAGTCAACACTGATCTCTGGGTATCTAGGAACCTATACTGGTGCACTTATTTCTGTGGGACAAAAATGTCAAGACTCCTGGATCATAGGCTATGGGATGAGGTAGTGTTAATTTTAAACTTCCCCTCCTCCGAAGCTCAAGTGATTGATGCTTCCATCCCTTCCTCACATCCTCATCAGCCCAGGTTGTTAGCAGTCCTCAATTTTTGTCAGTTTGAGAATGAAAACAAATCCTTGTTACCTCCCTGTTTCCATTATCTCGTTTTCTCCTGTCACTCTTGGAAGGTTAAAATCTTTGGCCTTGGGCTGGAGAGATGACTTAGTATTTAAGAGTAATGGCTGGTCTTGCAGAGACCCAAGGTTTGGTTCCCAGCACCAACATAGTGGCAAACAACCACCCATAATGCCAGTTACAGGGGATCTGACACCATCTTCTGGTCTCCTTGGGCATTGCATGACAGAAGTGCATTTACGTACATGCGATCAAACACTCAGATATAAAATAAAAATAAATAAAATATTTTCAAAAATCTTTGACCTGACCAAAAGGCAGCTTGTGGTTTAGAATCTGCCTAGCCCTCTGGGCTCTTTCCTAGTCAAAAGGGCTTTCTCGGGTCCTGAAAAAAAGATGACGTCAGAGTTCATGATGTCATCTTAGGTTGTTTGCCAGCACGAGCCTCATAGACCACTTCACCTTTTAAAATGTGACTGAGTTATGCTTGAGAGGAATAATTATTTCTACTTAATTTGCCTTGATGCAAGTGTTTTTCCAGTTGCTTCGGGCAGATCATTTGGAGCAAACAGAGAAGCATAAGCACAGGACTCTTCAAGAAACATGTTAGGGCGACACCTCGGCTACCAGGGAAGAGGCAGAAGGGCTGGTTGTAAATGTAGGGGGTTTTGCTTCTCCTGTTTTTAAGTTGGACTTTTCAAGTAGAAGATGCCTTTAATGTGTTGGTTTGCAGAACAGGAAACCTGATTTTTCCATGTGATAACACACGCTTTGACATTAACCAGTATAGTTGGATGTTTAATGACACTTTCATCTTCAAAGCCCTTTACCAACACAAATGAATTAATTATTCATTTTTGGTTCAGTGTTAAAAAAACAAGTCTTCAAAGCCATATCCTTTCTCCTTGGAAGTGGGGCTCTCAACTTTTCAAATGTTGCTCTCCTGTCCTCAAGGGAGAAAATAAATTTATTTTCCTTTTTAGAAAGATGAATACAATGGAAAAATACTTTGTGCTGTGAAAAGGTGGCCTTATGTCCTGGGTGGGGTTAGAAGAGGTTGGTGGTCACGATGAAAGCTGTGTTTACAGTAAGCACCCTGAGAAATAACTGGCTGAAAGTGTTTGTTACTGTTCAGTCTTTTGATGTGTTTTTAGAAAACAGCGGACATTCGAAGGGCCCCGTGCTAAACATACATTGGAACACAATATACAGATCCTTATATTCGATGCTGAAGTATATGTATTTTATTCCTGTTACCTTCAAAACATGTCTAACTTGGTTTTTAAACGATTTGATTTGGGAGAAGAAAACCTCAAGCTTCCCCGGGAGTGGGGGGAGGGTGGTCCTTGACTTGACACATCTTCTAACCACAAGAGAGCAGTCTTCCCTTTGAAGAGCGCTTCCCTCCACCTCCCCAGAAATGAAAGAGCAAGGGTTGAGTTTGCAAACACTCTAAAAGCTCTTTCCATCAGACCTGAACGCCGGAAACCACAAAGGGCAGTCAAGTACGGATCCTCAAGGAGAAAGCTCGCGGTAACTTTCGCTCCGCAGCCTGCAGATCTGCAGGTTCCCGGGAGGAGTGCGCCAATCCTGAAGGTCCCCGGGCTCCCCAAGGGTCACTCCAGGTGACCCAGAGGTGAACCACAGCAACTGGACAGCGCTGGTGGCTTTGGAGCTTGGGGTGCACTCACCTATTCGGGTTAGGGGAACAGGAGTTCCCTCCGTTCTCTTGAACTAAGACGGAGGGGACACAAGGGGCTCCAAGTGTGCATGAGACGCGTCTACAACTTTGTCTACCACCTCTGCTCTGAATCTTTATAGTGGCGAAGAGTGCAACGAGCTTCGGAAGTCATGCGCAGTTGCCCTGAAGCGTGTTTAGGCACCTAGCTTCTGCACCCAGGGACTTCAAAATCAGCCTGGGAGGTTTGGGTGGACCAGCATCTCGGCTTCCAGGGCTTCCAGTCAGGTCTTTCGGCTGGAAGATCCGTCTGCTTGCTTTCTGCCGAAGGATGGAGAAACGCCGGCCGGCCGGACTGCTGGCCTTGCGCCCCCCGCGGCTGCAAGTCCGGGCCCAGGAGCCCTGCAGGCTGGCGGCGCGCCTGGAAGCGCGGAGACGGCCGTGCCCACCCTTGCCGCCGGGGGGCGCCTGCGAGCGCGCCTTCCTCCTCCAGCGCAACGAGCGCGAGCGGCAGCGCGTGCGCGGCGTCAACGAGGGCTACGCGCGTCTCCGCGACCACCTGCCGCGCGAGCTGGCGGGCCGGCGGCTTAGCAAGGTGGAGACGCTGCGCGCGGCGGTCGGCTACATCAAGCAGCTGCAGGAGCTGCTGGAGCGCC